CACCAACATACTGAAAAAGAAACATTTTGGCACTTCAGTGTTTTGAAATATCATATGAGTAATAAATGTTCAAACTGAGAGTGCTCTGCTAAGGTTCTTATTACCATACGAGTAATAAATGTTCAAACTGAGAGTGCTCTGCTAAGGTCCTTATTACCATATGAGTAATAAATGTTCAAACTGAGAGTGCTCTGCTAAGGTCCTTATTACCATACGAGTAATAAATGTTCAAACTGAGAGTGCTCTGCTAAGGTCCTTATTACCATACGAGTAATAACTGTTCAAACTGAGAGTGCTCTGCTAAGGTCCTTATTACCATATGAGTAATAAATGTTCAAACTGAGGGTGCTCTGCTAAGGTTCTTATTACCATATGAGTAATAAATGTTCAAACTGAGAGTGCTCTGCTAAGGTCCTTATTACCATATGAGTAATAAATGTTCAAACTGAGGGTGCTCTGCTAAGGTCCTTATTACCATATGAGTAATAAATGTTCAAACTGAGAGTGCTCTGCTAAGGTCCTTATACTTTTAAATATTTTTATTCTTCAAGCATTGCTAAAAGTATATAAACCAAGGAGTTATTTGAAAACAAAAAAGTAGGGATCTTATCATTTAGGGTAGGGAAAACAACTGTCGCATTATTGATCATTTCTAGTCAAGAGAGGTTTGATGATTGTAAGACTCACCTTGATGATAATATCTGATGATTTTTCATTTTTCAGGTTGAAGTGGGCAATTTCAGGACTCAGAAAAGTTGCAGTATTGGCATACATTTGATAGCAGGTGTTTATTAGTTGCTCAGCAAGCCTAAGGTGGGAAATTGGCATTCCATAATGATAACCAAGAACAAGGGTCCCAGAGAGGAAGCAAACCAGGTGGTCCTAATTTGCATAGAAAACAAAAAAGTAACTTAAATATTCTCAGAAAGAGTAAAGATTATTTACTGCAATGTTATAAGGGCATGAGAAACAAAATGTATATGCATCAGGTGATTATAAGAAGTACAGAGAAAACATATGTCAATTATATGGACCATGATAATATGTGAAACAAAAACTCATGAGGTTTAGATGATCATACAATGAACAGGAAACACATGCAAATTGTACAATTAATAAACAGTATGAGGAGATATGGAAAATAGAAACACACGACTTGGAGGCATATATAAACACAAAATCAAGAATTAAACGCAGTTCGTATATTTATAAGAAGTTAATAAATTCAAACAAATTAGTAAAAAGTAGCCTAAGATGGTTATTAAAGACTTTATATAGAGAAAAGGATCCCCATCATCAACTTGCCATTTTTGGACTATATTTTTTTCCATTTAAGAGTTCACCAACAAACACCAATTGATTTGGTTTACTCTTACGAACAAGGTTTTTCATGACACCTTCAATTGCTTCCATGTAGTCTTCTTTTAACCTGCATACATAAAAGTGCAGTTATATTTTACATTGAACTGATCCATTCTGTTGACTGCTGTAGAAATTAAATAAACAGGCACAATGCAAAATACCTTGGAGTCAAATAGCAGGGGTGGTCACTACAACAATTTTGATTGGATGTGTTTTTTTTTTATAAGTGTACTGTAAATATATATTTCTTATTATTACTCAAATTAAAATTTAGTAAAATTACTGTTGATAATAAAAGTAAATTTCAATGAGCAAGACATAGCATTTTTTTTTTAATTTCTCATAAACATGAGGATAAAATAAAGTTAGGACATTTCCTTTCAAAAACAGGCAACAGTTCTTCATAATGTTTGAAAACTAAAATACAATTACTGAGTATTTCTTTGTAAAACAACATATATGATAAACACCACTCAGTCTCAGAGAGATTATTAATAAATTAAAAAACTTAGTAGTAATGTAAACACATTGCATGACTTGCATAGTGCATACTGTGCATTATTTCTTTGAAGGTATAGGGTACTAATACTAGTAAACAACTTTACATGAACAAGAATTTAATATTATTTCATACTAATGTATTTTGCAAAAAGAAATGAAAAATTCGGAAACACTTTCTTCATACATTAGATGATAATAATATACATACTATCAGTCTTATATACCCTTCAAAATTAACCATAATTGATTTTTTACATTTTTAATGTTTTTTTTATTGTACATATTAGAGATTAGTTGATTGGAAAAGTGAATCTCATTATAATGGAGCTTGTGATGTATACGCCCAAAACTCTGATCTTGGAAACTACCGCACCAATCATGACTGGGTGATATTTTATATCAGTAACTTTATAGCTGAGCAATAAATAAAAAATTTAAATTTTCACAAAAATGATATGTTTCAGATTTAATCAATAACAATTACAAAAAAAAGAAGTAAGTTTCAAATATAAAACAATCAAAAACAAACTTAAAAAAATAATTTGTTTTTCTTTGGTGAAATTCTCACGAGCATTGCAACAAAAAAGCTAGGTACTTTCATTGATAACCACATCTACAAAGAAATACTTCAACAAAATCTACTCTGTGATGTAATGCTGTGATGATAGCTTATTTTTAAACTAAAATTTCAATAAAATCCTTTTTCCCATGGATGGTGAACATTATTGAATGTCAAGTACGACTACGTTGTTCTAGAAATGTCAGACAATTCCAGAACAGACTGTAGGCCCAATAGCCTTTTGCAGGAACTAGCAGTTATACCTGTCTGGAGGGTGGGTACTTCTGCTAGTGAAAATAATGCCTGTGATTATATAACTGACATTTACATGACTGAATTAAAACATAGGTAAACACTTTTTTTTAACACAGATTTTTCTTCATTGCTGCAAACATTCCAACTTAAGTAGAGTGAAAGAAAATTAGTTTGCGTAGCTAGCTAATGAAAGTTTATTCAACTACACAGTGGCAGATTTATCACTACATGCAAAGGGTATGCACCAAAGGCTCCTGATTCAGGAGGGCCCTAAACTATATAAATTAAAAATGTTTATATGCATGTTTCATATTTTATTGCTGTTTTGCCGGACAAGTGAAATTTAGTTAACTAACATCCACAAATGGGAATAATTGCTGCAAGTGTCTTACTAAAGGAAATTTGGCAAATTTAGTTATTTAGTGATTTTTTTTTCTCTTCTAAATCACATTGTGCAGTAAGAAAAATGGAAAGGGTATACCATTCTGGAGAATAAAAAAGAAAGGAACAACAACTAAGGAAAAGCCTACAGAAGCAGAGAGGTGCAATTTCTTGTTTCGTAGAACACCATGCAGCCAAATGGGAAGGAATTAACTGATTTGAGAAAACAACCAACGAAGAAGGTGCTGATGAATTTTGTGATGATCAAATAAATACAGCCTCAACTACCAGTATTGATCCAACCTGAAATTGAAAAATATTCAAGTCCAGCTATTAACTACTCACAAAATATTGCTTTATGGCCAGGTATAATTACTAACAAAGTTATTGATTATTACATAATAAATAAACCCAAAAATATTGGAGACATGAGGGAATTAGAAGCTATTTTTGAAGTCTGCAAGAACAGCATTTTTATCAGATTGTGTAAACTGTAAAAGAAAAATGGAAATAGCTTGTCTACATGCACTACATGTAAATTTGTATATTGTTACATTTGCAAATTATTCCCAAATAGGAAAGTAAGACTTGCAAGTAAATTTGATTATATATTTTTGTGACTGGAAAAATGTCCAAAGCAAACTGACTGAGCATGAAATAACTAATTTCAGTCATATTGATATGAAGTTTTGAAACACGTGGTAGCTACTGTAAAATTGTTGTCTAAATTAGGATTAGGATTTAGAAGCCACGATAAATGCTGAAATTCAAAAAGAAAAGGTAATTATTTAAGTTGTCTTGAGTATCTTATCAAATATAATGATTTTTCAAAACATCATTTGGAACACTTAAATAATTGGAGTCATGTAATTACAAGTTATTTATCACAACAAACTTGTGACAAGTTCATAAAATTAATGGCATCAGCTTAAATTCAAAAACAAAGAGTAAAGTGTAATTTATTTTTCAATAGTTATTGATTCAACACCAGACATAAGTCATATTGATTAATTTACTATTATAATGAGATATATTGGGAAAGATGGGCAAGTAAGAGAGATTTTTTGCATTTATTCCTATAAAATTTCACACTACCAAATACTTAGAGGAAGTTGTGACAAATACCTTGCAAGTATTAAATCTAGACATCAAAAACTTTAGAGGACAAACCTATAATAATCCTTCAAATATGGTTGGAAGATATTCAGGACTTAAGCAAGAATTAAAAAGCAAGCAGCATCAGCCTTATTTATACGTCGTGTTAGCCATTCATTAAACCAAAACTAGCAGAACCATGTTCTGAAGCAGAATTATTTTTATCTGCTTCTATACAAAGATGGAACAATCTTATGGATTGCCTAGGAAAGAATACAGCATTAAAAAAAGTATGCAAGACCAGATGGTCTGCAGAAACAGATGCTGTTTATGCTCTTAAAAACAATTTTTGCAATATCAAGGAAGCTCTTTTGAAAATTAGTGAAACTCCTGCACAAAAAATTAACACTAGAATAGAAGATACATCTTTAATTAAAATTTGATGATTACACAGGCCTGCAATGGTTTTATTGTCTTTGAAATTTTTACATGTTCTATGGTAATTCCTGTACGGCGTTTCCAAAAATGATATCCATTTTTCTCCATACATACAGATTTTTGACAAAACGTCATAATGCAATAAATAAAAGAAAGACCTCAACACATAGTTTTGAGACTAAAAGACATAGATTTCACACATACAAAAAACCAGGATGAGGATGCTACAGGTGAAAGGTCATTTGCTGTGTCAAAAAGAGTAAAGAACTATTTATGGAACAAGATATCCCAAGATCTATTTATCTTGTGAACATAGAAAATGAGGAATTAGAGCACATGAATTACGAATTAATTATTGACCAGTTTGCAGTTCAAAAAGTCAGGAAAGCTTTGATATGAGGTAGGTATTTATTCTTTATTTGTTTGAGTTTATATTATTAAATATATATATAATACAATATAAGTTACTAAATCACACCATTATGAATTATCTAAATGATTATGCCAATAGTAATACTACCAATAGGGGCCCAAACTTGAATAATTTTACTTGTGATGAAAGAAATTAATATTCAGGTAAATCCTATCATAACTTCTTGAAAATCAAAGTATTTCGAATGTAATAAAGTATGGTTTTTAAGTCTGATATTTTAACAGTTACAAACATTATAATTTTCCTATACTGAAAATGTATTTCAAGAGGTACTTACTTTTTCTCACATAAATAGGAGTGTGACACACCCTTCTGATGCATGTAAGTCCCTCTATTCAATTCTATTGAACTATCACATCGAGTTTTGGCAGAAAATGGAAGCACCCCGATAAAAACCAGGCATGAAGATAGAGGATGTGAAGGGCTGGATGAAATGCTGATGACCGAGGTTGACGTAGAAGGGGTGGAGTAAGAGGAAGAGGTAATGGTGGGGCAGATTGGAGCTGGAGCAGCCGCAGAAACCATGGTTATTCCAGCCAGTGAGTTGCAATCAGAAGGACCTGATACAGAGTGGTATGGATGATCAAAATCACCCTGGGAACAAGACGGATGGGAGAATACATGTAAAGGTATTTGTTGTTCTGATCTTGACTGAATGCATCGACAGCTAGTGCAAGTGGATGAGGAACCAGAGACCAAAACAAATGTAAATTGGTATTGAGTGGTGTGGAAGATGAGTGGATAGAGACACCACTCTAGTGGATAAACTTTGTCAAGATGGGAAAGACAATTCATGACAAGATTGAATGCACCCAGAACATGGCAAGCAAGGAGACACATACTGAACATGTGGGCCAAAAAAAGGAGATCTAAGGTTTTACCACAAATGCCACCCTTGTGAGTGATATAAGCCACCACTGTAGAATTGCCGGAATGGATCATAACCAGACAATTTCTGGCAAGAAGAAGAAAATGATCCAAAGCACAAGGTACTGCTAAAAGCTCCAGGATGTTGATATAGTAAGATCGCTCAACAAGTGATCACATACCTGAAGCTTCCTGCTGATTGGGGCACCCCCAACCCTGGAGGGAAACATCCATGAAGATATGCAAATCTGGATGCAGGGGAGGAAGCAGAACATCCACTGACATGTGAGGCCTGTTTGACCACCAGTGCAGATTGTCAACAAGAGTAGAAGGAAGGGAAATAGGAGCTTCTAATGGAACCAGTGCACAGTTCCACTGGTTGTGCAGGGCCTACTGAAGAGAATTCATATGCACCCAACCCCAGGGAATATGGGCTTTCATAGAAGACCATATACCCAAAAGTGATAGAACATCATGAGCAGTAATAGAGGGAGTAGTAAGGGCATGGAGTTGAATAGAAGAAGGTCGGGTTCGACTGAGATGAGTTGATAAAAACACCCAAGTGGACAAGTTATTGGGTTGGTATAAGGAATGACTTCTCCAACTTTATTAACAAACCCCCACGAGCTGCCTCCAGGAGCAGCAGATGAGTGTGGTTGGACTATTGTTCAGAACAAGCTAACAAAAACAAGTTGTCCATGTAATGGTGTAAGTGCAACCCCCAAGTATGCATATGTCAGGCGAAAGCCTTGACCACTCATCAAAAGAAATATGGGGCCAAAGATAGCACCTCGACGGATGAGATATTGGAATATACAAATAAGCATTTGTCATGTCTACCTTGGTCATCCATAAACCTGAAGAAAAAGCCCACTTGAGGGTGAGAAAAGACTCCATGATAAATCGGGGCAGAATGAAAAAGTGATTGAGGCAGGACAAATCAATCACAAGCTGCTAGTCCCCAGTTTTCTTGAATACTATAAACAGCCTGAAATAAAAACCTGGAGAAGGATGAGTTACAGGTTTGATGGCTTTGTGGGAAAGAAGATTTTGTACTGCCTCCAAAAGACACTGACTGGTGTTAGGATCCCAAGGCAACAGAAAAGATATGGGTACCGTAGTCAATGAAGGAGGGGAAAGGAAGTAGATGACACAGCAAAATCAGGTGGAGGAAAAAGGCAGTCAAATTCGTAGTCAGCCCAAACAGGTTCGGCATATTCAGGAGAAATATGAACAACATCAGGAGAAGGAGGTTGACTCATATAATGATCAATCTCACAGCGGATGAGAGCCAATAATTCCATACCCAAGTTATCCACTTGCAACCTGTGTAAATGTGCTGGTAGATGGTATTACCTCAGAAGTGGTAACTTAGACTTTGGAATTCATTGTGAACAATAAATGATCAAAGACAACAGCGTCAGAATAAAGAAATGAAACTGGAAAAAAATAAGTTTTCTTTAAGTTCACAAGCTGTTTCAAAATTGAAAAGATTTTCACTTCAGAATGAATAGCAAAAAAAAAAAAAGCATAAACTTTAATGAAAAAAAAAAAACACAATTGAAGAGAACAATAAAAAACGTCTTGACACAAGCACTGCCAAACGAGAAGTGATAGTTTGGTAGAACTGAATAGAGGGAGTCACATGCGTAAGGAGGGTGTGTCGCACTCCTATTCGTGGAGGGTTTCACATAATGATTTACATACAAGATGCAGTTGAATCATGTTGAACTTAGGGTACATGGAAAAATGTTTTACATATAGAAGATAGCACTGAATGAGAATAGCTATTTATGTAAGAGGTAAGTACTGTATCGGAAAAACAATTACTTTATATGCTGGCATATAAGGCGACCCCCAAATTTTCAAGTTAAAATGTAGGTTTTGGGCTATACTCACCGTACAAGACGACCCCCCCCCCAAATTGTGCTAATTTTTAAGGTTACAGTTGTGTTTTTGGTTTAACGTCACCAGAAAAAAACAGTGGGGAGATATTGTTGGTTAACTATCACAATCTGCAATACCTCATGAGTGGGTGCTGTGTTTTCAGTAGCTGATGACTGTGTTAGTATTGTTTACACCAATCTTCGTTCCAGTATAAATTTAAATCATTTATTACAGTGCATTAGTTGCTTCTTTAGAATCTGAGTGAAAAGAAAGTATATGCTTACTGAATATATTTAATAAATTCAAAACAATACATTTTATAAGTACTTTTATTACACTACACTTTTATTATTTTATTATAATAATGTGAATTATGTTGTTTCCGTAGAAAATATTTGTGTTGGTAGTTACCAAGACAGGTATTAGCCTACTGTCAACCAAAACCCCATGCTAACAACTTACCGTACACCACAGAATTTAAGGTTCACATTTTATACCCAGAGTATAAGACGACCCCCAATTTTTGGGTGGATTTTTTAAGGTTAAAAGGTCGCCTTATATGCCGACATATACGGTACACTGAGGTTTCATAACAATTCTACCAGCTAATACCTTTTTCAGAAATTGTAGAGCATAATGAAAGGATTTAGACATTTTGGAAATAAAGTTGGAGAAAACAACCTTTACTCTCCAGATAGTAATAAAAAACACAATGAACAAAAGTTTCGTACACTTTAGAAATAGTCTATGGAGAAATGGAGGTGAAACATAGTTGTAACAAAGAATTCAAATACATCAATTTTATGAGTCTTGGAGAAAAAGAGAGAGAATAAAACTATTTTTGTTTCTGTAAATAAGGCATGAATTATAGAAAAAATGAAGTTTTTTTTAATCATAATTTTAACACCTTTACCTACCATGTTATGTTTCTTCCAGTTTGAATCCACTGCTTCAAAAGGTATTCATAATAAGTATCTGCTCGAGCTCCAAGAGTGATAGTGGATCGAGTACGAAACTTACCCGTATCAGTATTAATAAACATTGGCACAAGTCCATCCTTTTTGGGCAAAGTATGCAAGTGTTTGGAAACGTGAAAAGCTGCTTCCTGATAAAGAAACTTTCCAGTAGAGATGTGATTTTTTCTAAACTTACACTTATTTACAATATGATGTATTTATAAAGAAAGTAAGTGATTCGAAATTTAGCTGTAATGTTATTTTTGATTTATTAGTCTTAGATAAAACTTTTCTTCTGTTTGAATTACTTTCAACCCAATTCATGAGATTACAAACACAAAAAATACAAAGTGGTTACAGTATTAGGTTATAAAAATCACAGATAAAATCTGGGTTTTGTTAAACTTAATAAAATTTACCTCACAGAAGTGGATAAGTATATCTTAACCTTTGCTGAAAATTAGCAACAATTTCTAAACTTGCAAAAAATTCTTAAACAAGAAATAAATGTATTACCTATTCTGCAAACATTAACACTGACAAACAAGAGTATTTTTATAGTAAAAACGAAACAATCACAAATAAACAATCTTGTAATATAAAAGATATCACTATAGCCCTAACCTCATACTCAGTTCTGCCAGTTACACGACTGAGATCTCGAAACTCCAGTTGAATAGTGGACACTTCAGACACAGAGCTGTCAATGCTCCATGAAGGAGGGTGAACAGTGCCAGACTGTAGATTAACATCAGAGTAAGGAACACCAGACTGAGTCTTAAAGCAGGGCATTAGACGGTTCCCAATGTCAATCTTTTACATGATTATATAAATTTAAACCATAAGTATATACTAAATATATAACCCACAAAATTAATATATACTGAAGATGCTTATACATTTAATAAGTATCAAACAGCTTCAAAACTAATGAGTAATAGTAAAAAATAAAAATAATAATAATAATAACATATATATATATATATATAAAATTTCAATTAATCCAATGTTCTTTAGTGAAATAAATTGCAGGAATAAAATGGAATCAACAGAAGAAATAACATGAAATAAATAGTTGGAATAATGTGGAATTAATAGTAGGAATAACTTGGAATCAACAGTAGAAATAGACTGAATAATGAAAAAACAGTAAGCTTTTCAGAATCATTAATAAACAGAATCATTAGTAAACACCCAAGAAAGACACTCAAACTTTTTATTCCTATCTCTTACAGCTACATCACACTTATACTTACTAGTGAGAGCTAAGAAAAAAACTGCTATGGAAAAACAAGACTCTAATTGACCAAACAAATCTCAAAGGATTTTAATCAATTTCTGTTCATGTTAAAGCACACTGTTTTAATTTACTGTATTTGGAATATGAGAAAAATGTGGTTAAACACAGAATTCATCATTAAAGGTTCCACACAAAGGCAAAGCTTCTGCACAACATAAACTAACATGCAGGTAACTAATCGGCATAATTCTGTCAATGCTATGGCTTTATTAAATGCAAATACTAAGGCAAAATTTTAATTTTTTGAATACTATGGTACAATGTAGCTGTCAGGACTAAACTGATTTTTTTAATTATAGTAATTTATGAAAAAGTTTAACATGAGTATTCTCTTTATGGTAAAGCTAATAAAGCTATCTGTTACCATCACTAATTTTGAACTAATAACCAGAGGAAAGACTGCCAGTCAACAGCACCCCACCACCCACCATCTACACTAAGGAATTTACTGTCACTTTTATGATGCACCCATAGCTAAAAGTGTGAGGAATATTTTATGGTATTGCATGGATTCAAACCCAGCTCGCCAGCTCTGAAATCCAGAGTTCTACCACATGGAAAATCCATGCCCCTAACATGAGTAATGCACTGTGATATTTACAGTTATAAAATGGTTTTATTGGATGTTTCAATGTGAGGCTAAAAGTAATGAAATAAAAGACTTTCATTTGAAATAAGCATGATAAGTGAGCCTGTGAAAGAATAATTTTGGGTAGATCTTAATTACCACTGCAAACCTCAGTTTGGTAAATTATTATAGAGTCATCTATCTATCCATGAAAGTCAACATAACTATATTAACCTTTTGCAAGTGTTAAAAAAAAAGGTATAATTTTCACCAATTTATTTAAAGAATAATTTTAGTTAAGAAAAATATATTCATATAGAATATGCAAATGGTAAATATAGAAGTACTTTTAAAAATGTATAAATGAAGTTGAACTTGTGTAAAATTTTAATGGTGTGAAAAAGGTATGAAAAGTTTCCTTAAATAATAACTTAATATTAAATGGTACACTTTACTAGAGATTAGATATCTATAGACAATCATATTTATATGAACAAAAAAAATAATTTCCAAGAAGGATACTTCAAAAAATATTTTGAGGGAGGTAGTTAGATTAATATTCTACTTCTTTCTTAATGCAACTTTCCCATGTAGGTGTTAATATTTCAGCCAGTTCTTTGTGTACTGACCACTATTATTAGCTGAAACATTTACTGACCAAAACTATTAAGATATATTTACATAGTTCATCCATCAATAATTCAAGCCTTATTATTGCCTGAGGCACACAAGTACTTTCTATGTAATCACTGACAATATCAAAATACTTGACTGCCAACAACTGGTAAAAGTTATAATTTTTCTATAATTACAACATTAATCTACACCAACAAATAATACTTATGTTCTTGTACCGCTACTTGACTTTATCTATATTTAGCAGGAACATGAACTGGATCAAAGGGATCACATAATAATATAATCGAAATTGACTCAAATAACTATATGCTATTTTTACCACCTTTACTAAAACATATGTAACATTTATCTGGTATTATACATGCTAACATCAACCACAGAAGTTCCACAAATTGTAGTTGAAAACATTCAGTTTGTTATGTGGGAGAATAATTCACCCCCTTACAAATAACATCTATATTAGGTAATTTTAAAAGTCATTCTAACTAACTAATCTTCAGCATTTATAAGTATTATGTATGGAGTAACAAATCATCACACTGTTGAAGCCAGAGGTTTGGTATTTTTGGAAAAATACTCAAGATTTTTTAACTACATAATGTCATTAAAAAAAAAAAATGTCTAGTCTACTTTAACGATGGAAATCTTTTGAGGATGGAATCCTCATTTTTAAATTTAAAATTGACCATTACTTACTGCTTTTTCCAAAAATAAGCTATCTTGAGTTAGGTGGTATGTGCTCAAAAGTCCTCCCAGTACACGAATGGTTGTTTCAAAGAAATTCACATCTTTGTTGATATTAAAGTTTAATTTGTTAGCAATCCATTCTCTAGCTTCCTGGAACTCTGTCCAAAAAAGTGATGAAAATTGAAGTTTAATGTTTTTATACCTTTAAATCTACATATAAATAGAGAGTAAATATTCAGGATAAAATAATACAAAGTTCTGATTATTTCTGTTTTTTTTACCCACATTGTTGATCTTTACCAAAGTATCTCTTTCAATAGAAAATCTTTTAATCTATTAACTCTTTGATATTTGGGCTTTAAATTGTTTTGAAATGATAAAATATTTTAGACTTTATATGTTGTTATTTGTAATAATTAATAATTAACACCTGCGTATTCCTTAGAGGCTTAAACTTTTTGAATGCTCAGGAATATCAATTAAGTGAACACCTTAAAGTAAAAGATTAAACTCAATCAAAAGTTAATGTTTTCTAAACTGAAAATGTATTTCCAATAATACTTACCTCCATTGACACTATAGCTATTTCTCGATCTCCAGGGTTTCCACTCTTTCCCCATCTAAACATTGAAAACACTTGCTCCAGTCTTTTCTACCCTACTCAAATGCCCTTGGCAAATTCTAATTTGCAAAATTCTCCACCAACTTCAATGCACCCTCTATCTAGGTACTGTATATAAGCACCTCATTCAGCGAATGTAATCACTTTTTCGAGATATAAACTGGCTTTTAGTAGGGAGGTAGGGCAGGAGAATGTCAGCAGAGGTAAGTATTATTGGAAATACATTTTCAGTTTAGGAAAATGTTAACTTCCAAAACAAACTTACCTCCATTGACACTATAGCTAGAATCTCACATTAAGAAGGTGGAGGGGCTGGTGTAGGCATGAACCATACAGAAAGCATCTGTATAGAACAGGAGTGTACCAAGATAAAGATTGTACAAGAGTGGGGGAACTGCACTACAGCACAGGAATGCTCTTCACCTGAATCTCAGTTCCTATATCAAAGGTGAAATAGAATATGAGTAATCGTCAGTATAAGCCAGCCCCAACCAGATAGCCGAGGTTCCACAACTCGGGGGTTGGAATTAAGGGGTTATGGTACCTATATCCCACATTGGTGGCTAGGGCTATTGGACCGCAATGTTATATATATATATGTATACTTTTGATTGGATCCCAACCTGTAGCCATAGAGTGATGCATTTTGCACCACCGGAATCACGATGAGAAAGTAAGCAACACTGAAGTGGACAAACTTTCTCCTACACCTGAAGAAGTCCAAAAGCACTCTAGGCTCGGAATATCGGGATGTTGTATGCCATATTCAACCATTGGAACATAACTTATCCAGTCTGGAATTATGAACATTCATCCTCACTTCCCAACTAAGTGGGCAAGGAGTATTCTGCTTGCCCCTAGAATTATGGAGAGGACATGGAATCTGTGCTGAACCAAGTACGTAGGATTGGACCACTTTGCATTCAAAATTATGAGGAGATAGTGGGCATCTGTCCGTGAACAATATACAAAACCAATATTGATCAAAGAGAAGGCCATGCACCCCCAACTGGATAGCTTGATGTCAAATCTGAACCGGAATTACAAGTAGGATCCCGTGGAGATTGGTGCCACTCCTACTGACATCTGGAAAAAACATCCAGGGACCAGAGTAGGAGAGCCCCCAAGAGTCGAGGAACACACTCAAACACTCTGGAGGAAAAGCCTCTGTCTGCCAGCCCAGTAACTAGAAACTGGGGTTGGTAAGTACTCCCAAGCTCCACTAATAATCTAAGGGGGTAATACGTATCGTGGGACTCCTGAGGAACAGTGCAATAGGTGAACCAAGTTCCTTATATTTTTAAAAGCAAACCGACCCTGATTTATTCAACTTGAAGATTGGCATTCAACCTGCGATCCCCTTGAGCTTTACTCATGATAGTCCATAATAATAAGGTAACACCATCTGGTAGGTGCCTAGGTGGTCTTATGGAACACCCCATTTCAACAGAGCCTATTGCAACCTGTAGTAATTATAGTAAAAGTGGTTACTAGCACGGAATTGAAAACAGAAAGCATACCTGCCTGGGCAACACTCACCAGAGAGTGGGATCCAGTGGAAAAATAAAGGGACACTGGAAAAAAAAAAAGAATATATGATTGAGGAAAATACTCACCTCTGATGAAAATCTAACAAATGTGGTCAAAATAGCTGAGGGATTAGTCAAAAACCCTCAGAAGAGGAAACTGCCAGATCATGTAAGTAAAGAGATAGGAAAGTATTAGGAGTAGTCCACATACCAGCCTGCACAATGTCTTCCAGAGGTCAATTCAACTGAGTGGCTAATGATATACAGATATCACAAATCTGGTTAAATGTGACACACAAAAGATTCCTCCCGCTTTTGTGGTTTCTGAAAGGAGAATCTGAGAGTGTTGTTCTGCTAACTGACGAGATAGTGCCAGAAAGAGCCGGTCGTCCATATAATGATGTGTGCACAGACCCAAGGAATGCAGATGACAAAAAAAAAAGTTTGAACAACTCTGCAGAAGACATAAGGTGCTGATGCAAGACCAAAAAGTAGAGCCCTGAATTGCAGCACCTGACCCTTGTGCACAAATCTCAGAAACCTCTAGGAAGATTCCACTATGGGAATATGGAGATAAGCATGGGTAACATCAAACTTGGACATCCAAAACAATGGCACAAAGTGCCATTGTAGGTTGAGAAAAGATTCTATTGTAAAGCGACTAGGATCTAAAAATTGGTTGAGTTGAGACAAATCGATGATTGGACACCAATCTCCTGTCTTCTTAGGTACAACAAATAAATGGGAATAAAATCCCAGAAGAATGGGATCAACCCTCTCTACTGCCCTTTTGACTAACAACTCTCTTATGGCCTGGGAATGAAGCTCCACTCACTGTGGATCTGTTGGAGGTGAAAAGGCAACTGGTTGTGCAGATAATGGTGAAGGATAGTTACCAACACCATTGTCAACTGTCCACCTGAGCCAAAGATCCTCGAAAATATAGATAGACTCTGTTATGGGAACCAATAGACTAGGGATCTGAAGAAGGGGGTTGGGAAATACTATGAGCAGACACTCCCAAATTAGTGCCAGAAAGACGATTAGCCAACGATGATAAAGAAGAATGTAAATGAGCTGAATTAATTTGTGAATCTAATGTCTCTGGAACTCTGGCAAACAAAGAACATGGGACAGAGAAAAAGAGCTTCCTGATGGCAGAAGATGGTAAACAAACACTTTTTAACAAAGGATCTCTACCTAATAAATTCCAACATCAAACCAGCCAGGAAACCAGAGAAAGAACTGAAGAAGACAATCGGTAGATGTCAGCAAAATCCCAAACTTGTCCTCAAATTGCTGAGGGGAACATTGATAGGCTTCCAACAAAGGTTGGATCAAAGATAAATACCTCAGGATAGTTGTGAGAGTAAGATGAATCTGGGAAAACTGTGATCTGTTTAACCTTTTCCATACGGGTCACAGGTAAAAGGCCATGTCATCTCGTTTGTTGACTCACATTCAAAATTTTATTGAACTACTATTACATGAATTTATGTCAATAAGTTTGGTATCAAACTGCAGATTATAATTCACATTTTAGAACTATACATTACTCAATATTAAATATTAAAAAACACAGATAAACATTGATTTTTGTGTGTCACGTGGTATACTGAATGCAGCACTGGTTCAAATTAGATGTTTGTGAAGTCAAATATTAAGTATATAGTTT